GGACTCGCCACCAAGTCACTAGACTACGGACCCCTAAACTCTAACCCCCACCCCAGCTACTCTGCCTGCCCAGCAACCCCAGCTGCCGCCGCCGTTGCCCCCCTCACCCTCCGCAACTCCCAGGCTCTAACCCTCGCCGACCAAACCCCCCCTCCGGCGCAACTCGCCGGCCTTAAACCCCCACCCCGCCCCACCGCCCCCAAAACTACCCTGCTCTCGTCGCTCCCCGGCTCCCTCTCCCCACAGCTACCCACAGGCATAAGTCCCTCTACCGCAGACAATGCCCAGGCCCCCTCTTCTCCCCACAACTATCTGCCCACCCCTCCAACAATCACCGGGCTACCTCCGGCGGCAACTACCGGGAGCTCCGGCACCACCGCCACAAACTCCCCCACCTCGGCGAACTACCGAGCTCCTCACTCAATCCTCTCCTACATCCTCTCTCTTCAACAACTCTCCGGCTCCCAGATTCCCCTAACCTCTCAGTTCTAGGGCCCCAACCTGCCGGAGGCCCTTTCGGCCCCTAACCCTCGAAGCTCTGGTTTCCAGCTCCCACTCCCCCATCCCACCCCACCCCCTCTACACACACACAACATCTAATCTCCAACTACCCCCGGCCCAGTCTCGCACTCCTCTTTCCTCCAAGGTCTCTCAACTCGTCACTCTCCCACCTTCAGGGGCAGGCCCCCGACCCCCTCCCCGCGCTCCCCTGCTGGGCTCCGGGGCTCGACCTCCAAGTTTGCCAATAGATTCCTCGCCCGCCCCCCGCCGGCTCAGCGCCCTGTGCCGGTCGAGAGCTCACCTTCGGGACTGGGCTCCGCCATGGCTTCCAGCATCGCCCCCTACCCTCCTCCTGGTTCGGCGCCCCCCTCCCCTGAGCCGGGGATCCCGGTGCCGCCTCCGGTGCTCGGTGTTCCTACTGCCTCGCTCCACAGAGGTGTCTGTTTCGGTTCGGTTGTGACTCGAGTCCGCTAGCCGCTGCCGCCACCTCCCTCTACCACAGCCTCCCGCACTCCCGGACCGGGCCCCCTCCCCCCGCGCCGCCGGCCGCCTGCTCCCTCCTCCTCTCCACCCTCCCTCCGCTTCTCTCCCCCTCCCTTCGCGGGCGCTAACGCGCAATGCATCAAGGGGATTGTAGTCAGTCCGCGGTAAGCAAGAAGGGGCCTCGATAAGCATCCGGAACTTCAATTCCCAGCAAACCACGGATTGGCGCAGGCGCACTAAACTGCTCTCGTCCCCCGGGGAGTGGCGGGGAGATTGGGAGCAGAGGGGAGAGCGGAAGAGTGCGCGCAGGCTCCTGGGAAATGTAGGCTAGGCGGAGCTAAGAAAGAACGGGAAGAAGGGATTAGAACTCTCGGCCACCATACTGCTTCAATTCTGCAGCTTTATACCCCCGCGGGGACCACCCCACTTCCGGCCAGACAGAGGTAGGCTGCTGGGAGATGAAGTTCTCCTGGTGATAATGGCTCCCTCCTCCCAGTCGTCTCTCTCCCTTGGATTCCACTCCAGTGGATCCCTCACGGCGGCACAGAGTCTGGCAAAGCGACATACATCTGAGGACGGAGTCCTTTCACTAGCTCCCATACTCGAAAATCTCTTCCTTCATCCAAAAAGTTGCAACACACTTGGATGTTTTATCTGAAGCAGGTGCTTTCAAACTTTATCCACAGGAACCCACTGTAAAAAACTTCAATAACCTCAGGACCCAATCCATATACACGTATATAAAACTGAACTTTCATGAAATGATATTCAGTAGTCCATCCATCACAACAAAGCACACTCTTTATATACACAAGGAGAAGCTCAACGTAAGCAGAACAAACCAAAATATACTATTCCCTCTAACCTACTCTTTCCCCACCACTTGAAGAGGAGAACAAAAGGGGGAGGGAACAACACAAAGAAAAAATCCAGTTCAGCTTGGTGGTTTCCTCTTTATTGATGTGCCTCCTACCTTCCCCCACAATTTCAGTCCCTTCCATCTACCCCCCAAAAAGAAGGTAGTGAAAAGAAAGGATTGTTGGGGCTCTGAGCCCCTTGGGCAGTTAGAAAGGGAACAGAAACCAAAACAATCACCAGATGTGACAGAGATTGACAATCAAGAAGTCTAAAGCAGAATGGGAAAAGTGGTAAAGAAACGGGAAGAAAGAAAGGAGAGGTATTAGAGGCCATCTCCCCCATTAACCCTTGTGTTAAGAGGGTCTGGAGGAGAGTCTCAAACATTAGGAATTGCAGGTCCTGAAGAAGGGAGGTGGTGTTTTAACCTCAAGGAGGAGTAGGTCAAGGAAGGGGGGCCACCTCTTTGTAGAAAGGGACCCCCCATCTTAGGGGCAGCAGCTTCACAGACCGTAGACACTTTCATCACTGTAGGCAATGTATAGAAAGAAGTCTTCTTCATGGTGTTCCTGGGGTGAAGGTAGAAAATCACAGCGTTCAGGCATCTGAGCTTTAGTTATTTGAACCACCCACCACTGGGACATATTCTTCCAAAATCATTCTTTTTGAAGACCCCAAACACCAGTACTTTGACTCTCCCTCTCATTTGCTCCAGATTGTAAGTGCTGGGCAGTATTATCCTATCCACAGTCTTGGACAATAAGATCTCAAACTATTCTCTACTGCCGTGGAACACGGAGTGGCTAGACGGGAGTCTGGACCACAGCAGTTACTCTGGCTCACTGCCCTGTCCAAATCTCTAACCCAGGACGATGCAGAAATCTTAAGGGTGAGTATAAAACTGAGAGCTAAGTAAGCCAGCTGGTCCAAGAACTGCTGACTTCAAACTTTCTGCCTCTCAACCGCTTCCAACTCCTCCCCAAAGCCTCCTCTACTTCCCAGGCACCATACCTGGTACAGCTGACCCATCGTGGCACTGGTGGGTGGAATGACGTTGTTGACGAAGAAAAACAAGGCATCCTCTGCTCTGAGATGAATTCGCTTCCGGATTAAGAAGTAAAACTGACCAACTGCCAAAGATACAAGGCCTGATAAAGTCAGAGATCACAAATACCCTCAAAAGAACACTGCTATGTGGAGTCTCCTCCATCAGAGACTGCACTCCCACCCCCAGGAAACAAATCTGGGTATTGGGTCAGGTTCCCACCTGTAAGATCAGAAGGCACCAGGTATTTCTTTTTGTCCAGGTCTCCTATTCGAGCTTTGGGAGCCTTTTCTACTATCACCTGTTAAAGAGAAGATAAAAATTAGCAGACCTTAGGTACACAGACGCACAATTCCACCTGTCAAGAACTCAACATTCCTAGCACCAACAAGTACCCCAGACTCATTTTTCTTTGTCTCTTAACACGCGGCGCAGCCCTGAATAGGAATTCTGACCCCATTGACTAATTCACCTAAACATCCAGGATCCCTGAATACGGCGTCATATAAAACAATTATGTTAATCAGACAAGGACGACTTATTGGGGCCAACAAGAGCTTCAACTTCAAAAACGCTATGTGAAGCTCGGACTGTCAAACGCCCCACAGCCTCCCACACGAACCCCAAGGTCTGTCTCTCGAATCTACATCTCCTCACTTTCAGCTCTATTGGTACCCCATTCCTTTCACCTCCGGTCCCAGAAACAGCGGTTTGGGGCTCGTTCCCAACGCCGCCACAACCGGCAACCTGATGCCTGCGCTGTGGGTCCCAGACTTAAGCCCAGGCTGTGGCGTCAGCGCCAGCGCCAGCGCCCCGCGCCCTCGGCCCTGGCTACTGTCCTCACCGGGACCCGGTCCGGGTATTTCTTTCGGATCTTCTCGCCCTCAGAGCGGCGCTTCTCGAACGGATGCTCCTCTTTATACACGAACTTCATCCTCCCGGGAACCGGGTTGGACCGGGCTGGGCTGAGGGAACCCGGGGGGGGGGCCGGGACGGGGGGCGGCGGCGACGGCAGCGACGCGCGGGCGGATTCAGCGGAGCGATCCCCGGACTTGCGCCACTTCCCTATTCACCAACCCCGCCCCCGGCCAACAGGGGCCTCCCAGGCTGCTATGATACGCCACTGGCGTAACTGCCATAACGCCAGTAGCGTAGCGCCACCTACTGACCTCTTCTCTCACGCCGTCGGCGTAATCGCTTTGGAATCAATTTGTAAACTACGCAGGCGGCGTAGGAAAGATGGTTGCCTTTTGCTATCGTCGGAAATAACTGAAAATCCATTTCCCTACTTTCCCCCCAGGGAGGTAATGATGAAAAGGACTAAAAGATGGTAATCGTAATTTGAGACTTGGCTCTCCAAAATCTCTTTTCGTAAGTAATGCAGACGAAAAGCAGATAATTACAAGGATAGCTATTCACGAAACCTGTTGGTACGCTGAAGGCGGCCGTTGACACCAAAACAAAGTAGTACCCAAGTGGAGGAAGTGGTCTCCGGGAATAGAGGAGGGCAGAAACGAAACCTGTGTTTGGAGGTTTAAGGTTTGGACGCTTAAGTTCCAGTAATGGGTGGACCAATAGGGACTGGAGAGGAGGTCTGAAAGGTAAGGACTACGTCAGCGCGGAAGAACACTGCTGCTGTGTACTTGATTTAATCATGTGATCTCAAAGGGCGGAGCGTCACGTGGCGGGCGCGAGGAAGTAGAGCCGGCTTGGGCTTGGGGAGGAGGGCCCCGGGGGAGGTGGGGACGTGGGGACGTGGGGACGTGGGGCAGGGCCAGCCCGCCGCTCGAAGGAAGCGCCTGCTTAGCTAGTACATGCCAGTCTTCCAGATGAAGCCCGGCCTTTCTTGTCGTCGAGGTTTCTACTCTTTTAATACTTCGACCTACGGCACTGAAGCTCACGTTCTCTCAGAACACACAGCTGTCCCTTCACTCCCCGCCAGGGTGCCCATCCTGTGTCACTAAGACCCTTCCTGCCAGGGAAAAACCAACACTCCCCATTCCCCTACCCTTAGGGTCTGCAGCAGGCTTTTCTCTCTCTGCCTAGTAGACAGGGTGGATGTGAACAAAAACCCCGCCCTCATTACCCCAAACCCCAGAGAAGGACCTAGGGCAGCTTTGGTTTCAAAGTTATAATGCATGGTTTAAAAGAGAAGAAAGGAAAAAAAGAGAAAGCTGGTTACAGATCTGAGGGAATCTAGGAGGAAGGGCAAATAGAGGGAAAGTAAGGGAGGGGACAAGTTTGGGGAAAGTCCAGTGGCCCAAAATCCCAGTTTCCCACCCACAGCCCAGCCCTTGGAGTGAAGAATTAGATCAGTTTTGTACAAGAGTTTTTAAAAAATCAAATCACAACAAAGCTGGCTTGGCTTCTCTTTTGAGCCTCCCAAATTACCGAGTGTCTGTCTCACTCTGGCCAGTCGTGTCTCTCCACCAGACACTGTTGCGGCTCTCCTAGGTCTCCGCTTATGTCCCAGTCTGGGGTTTCCAGGAGTGCGAACGAAGTTAGAGTGAGGCTGCTTCAGAATCTGGCCCTTGTGTCCATCCAGACTCCGTAGGGAGTGCAAGGCTCCCAGGGCAGAGAGGGGTGAGAGGGGCAGACCCTGCCCAGGCAGTCCTCACCATTGGACAGGGCATCAGACGGCATCCCGAGGGCTCACCCTACCCTTCCCCCCCACCCCAATTCAGGTGGAGGGGGAGCAGCTGTCACCAGAGCCTATGTTGGTGAAGGTTTCGGCTCAGCACAGAACGAACATCAGCGGTGAACCTGGGACGACAATAACTTGCATTGGTAGAGTCCTCATGGGGACAGCCTCCTTACACTAGTGTAAAGCAGCCTCACTGAAAACATGGGACAGAAAGGACCACCATTTTCTCTTGAGACTGAGGTTCAGTTTGCCCAAAACCCAATGGCTAAAGGTGAGGAGTTAAGACCTAGGTTCAAAAATTATATTCTTAGGGAAAAGAGATAAGGAAGTAAAACAGGACAAACTTTTATTCCTTCTTGGGATCCCCTACCGCTCTTCTCCTCAGAAATCTAAGTGTCTAGCTTCCCTTACCTGAGGGCATCCAGCATTGGAAGCAGGTTGAGAAGGGCGGTATCACTGGGATCACTGAACCAGGATTTGATGGGGATGGCATTGTCTAGAGTGGGTGAAAAGGCACATGAGAATAAAGGGTTCAAGAGAGAAAGGGTGTTTTCCCTTTTATTTGGGGGTGATTAACTTTAAAATACATAACCTCCCTTGCAAACCCAATGACCTAAGTAAAACCTTCTGTATTTATCTTCCAAAACAAAATTAAATTTTAATCACCATATCTCATACTAGGGTAAGGCTTCTAGTCAAACTTCCACCTTGTGTCTTACCTAAAGCAAATTTGATATGAAAAATCTGATTTATGAAACAGAAATGGGGGGCAGGGAACACTCTCATATGAAAGAGAAACAGCTTGCATCCTGACCTATTGTAAACCAGGGAATCCCAGCCCCATGCATTCAAAATACCTCCTTAGAACCACTTTCTTGTCCTGCCAGACTCACTGGCTTCTCCCTTACCTGGATGGCTCCTGTAAGCCCCTGGGGAGTTATCCAGGATCACAATGCTGGAGAGGTCACTGTGGACCACAGAGAGGTCCTTGATGTAGCTGCCCAATTCCAAAGTGCAGTGCTGGAAGGCAGGGCGGGCTGGGCATCAAAAGGAGACTCGCCCTCTGTGATTGCTCCCCCAATCCCAATAACGCCCACAAGTAGCCAGTTCCCACAAAAGGGGATTATGTAGTACCCCCACACGCGGCCTTAGAAGGTCCCATTCCTGGGCAGTTGCCTCAAACTGAAGTCCCTCCCTGATGGCCTGCCTCCCCAGCCTCATTCTTAGGCTTAGATTCTAGTCCCCTACCTGTCTGTAGTATCTCCTCTTGAGAATGCTTCTGCTATTATCCAGTTTATCTGCCACAGCAGAGCCATAAATCTCCATGCTTGCTGTGAACACCACCAACTCGTACCACTGGCTCACCTGAAATAGATTGGAGAAGAGGAAGCTGTCAGAAGAGGTGATTGTTCATTTGGACATATAGTTCCCTTTTACTAAGACTCCAGTGTAGACCTTCAGGCTTTTCAACAACACTGAATGTCTCTGAGGACACAAAATTTTGAAACTGTCCTCAGACTCCAAGTTTTAGGCATCATACCCCCTTAAGATTCAGAGATGCAAGAACAAGAGAGCAGGAAGGCCATGAAAAAATAGAATTGCATCAGCACAATAAATGAACCCTAACCATGGAAAGCCATTCTCTGACCATCCAACAACCTCCCCTCTCCAAAACTGTCCCTGCCCATTTCTCCTGATCCCTTAATTCCTCCAAATCCTCTACATTCCCAGAGCCCTAAAACCATTCCTTCATCCCAGAACTGCCTTCAGCTTCTGCAAACTCACCACTTCCAAGAAGAAATCCACATGGGGCCTCTTATGTACAAAAAACCGGACAGGATGTTTGTCTATTACCACCTGCGGAGGAACATAGCAGGGCTGGGAGAAATCCTAAGCACCTCCACCCAGGCCTCAAGGACACCCCCTACCCTCCCACTGCTTGCTCCCTTTTTTCAGGCTGCCCCCAGGGCCCAAGGACAGGGCCAGGGACGAGATACTCTGGGATGGGGAAAGAATCTGAGCAGAATTACAGACACAAGTTATTCCATCACTTCCCACTCCCACACACCTTGAGAATGAAGTCAGGAGGCGTTCCAGGCCGGACTGTGGGCCTTAGGACCCCATCATGATGGGAGTGAATAAGTGTCTCATCCAGATCCAGCACCAGGATCTTCCTCTTCACCTGGCCTGAACCACAAGGGAAAGGGGTAACACCAACCTACCTCCAACCAAGACCTTGAACCCGACCTCACCTAGGGTTCCTCCCAGCCAGCATACTCACTTAGCCGATTCCGGGACACAGGAGATAAGGGAAGGATGTCATATCGAACAGTTTGGTACTGAATTACCTAGGAATAGCAAGAGAGAGAGTTAAACCCTGGACAAGGAAATCTTCCCCACTAACAACAGGAAGCACATGTTGAACATTTACTAAAACTTGAAGTGAAGTGAAAGTCACTCAGTTGTATCCAATTCTTTGCTACCCCATGGGTATAGTCCACAAAATTCTCTAGGCCAGAATACTGGAGTGGATAGCCTTTCCTTTCTCCAGGGGATCTTCCCAACCCAGGGATCAAACCCAGGTCTCCTGTGTTGCAGGCGGACTCTTTACCAGCTGAGCCACAAGGGAAGCCCCTATAAATTGGGCATGGTATAATTTAGGGTTATTTATGTAATCCTCAAAACAACCCTAATAATAATTATAACAACAATATCACCCATGTTTTAAGGATAAAGAAACCAAGGCTGAGAGAAGTTAAATAACCTAAGACCACACAGCTAGGAATTAGTGGTTTGCCCCTCCAGTAAGAATGAAGACCATGAAAGCATGGATGTTGTCTTGATCATGGCTGTATTCCTAGAACACTATTGCAAGGGTGGTCACTCAACACTAGAATCAGTGAAATGGTGGAGCCATGATTGTACTCTGCAGTTCGACCCAAGAACCTGTCCTGTTATCCATGATATTATCCTGCTACATGGAAATGCATGGCCCTGCCCACCTCCACCTCAAGAATCCTTTGTGACAACTCCCATCACCTCCTGTTAGGAGCTGAGCACTTCAGAATCCTTAGCGGACAGAGGGTAGGTGTCAGGAGGGGAGGTCCTTGGGTCACTAAGGGGAACAGAGAATGAGGGAATCCAGGGGTTGTCAGGTCAGCTAAGTTCCTCTGGCTGGGGGCCACCAGGCCTATTTTAACCAGCCACCTGTCCATTTCTGTCTCTACTAGCCAAGTCACAAGCTGCAGAGAGCCTCAGCCTTCTGAACAGCCTCCTTATCCTGGTACCCAGGGCAAGGCAGAGAACACCGGAAAGCCCCACTCACTAGGCAGACTGATAGAGCACCAAGAAGGCCAGAGTGAAGGGCTGTGAGTTCGAGGTGAGGAAGGGACAAGGATGTCACCAGCCTGGTCTTACAGCTTCTCCGTCTCTCTAGAGACTCCTGTTTCCAACACTCAGGTCTCTCGCATGCAGAGCTTGGTGATTCCCTCCTCTGCCCTTTTCTTCTAGGCACAGTCCATCCCTAGGCTCCAAGCCTCACCAGAACCAGGCTCCCCACTTGCAAACCAAAGGCCCTCTCCCCCTAATCCCAAGGCATCTGCCCTTCTTTTCTCGCAGGGCTGCAGATGAGGGCCACGACAGCTCGGGTGTCCTGTTCTGCTATCTCGGGTTGCACATGCTGGGCATGTAGGGAATGCTCTAAGCATCTGCCAGAAAGGGGGCGGGGGGTGGGGGGTGGGGTAGAAACCAGACTGGAAGGAAGAAGGGAAGACAAAAGACTGGGAGGTCAGGGAATCTGTCTCTAGATGGGCTGGTGCACATCTCTGCAACCAGAAAACCATTTTCTCCCCTAAAAGAAGGGGAAGCAAGGGGGATGCTCTCTGCAAGGCCAGGAAGAGAGGACAGCACCTAACATGGAAGGAAAACCCCAGGAGCTAGCCACATACGCATCTCAGCATCTCTGACCTCAGATTCTTCTTAGTTCCTAACCCTTGTCTTGGGGAAATAGTCCTGCCTACAACCATGACCACCCAGAAACAATCCTCACCCTAAATCAAAAAGTGAAAGTAGTCTGATAAAGGAGACACTGAAGCCAAGGCCAGGCCCATTCCACCACTACCACTCAGGGTTGTCTGGAAATTCTTTGACCTAGGCAGCCCCTACCACATTTTATTTCTTCCAGTTTTATTGAGTTATGCCAGAGCACAGACTGGAGATTCTCGACACCCCAACTCCCTGAGTCCTCCCCAGCCTCCTTCAGTGGATTCTCCCCCATGGGTGTGAGAACACACAGCACATTTATTAAATTATGTTAGCCTAAGGAGCTTTGACCTTGGAGAAAAGCTATGGGGGAGGGAACCCAGAGATACACTCCCCACAGTATGCCTCACAACACTGGGGTCTCCTGGAAAAACAAGCATGCCCTCAGATTGAAGTCTTTACAATTGACAAGCACCGTCTTCTGATGAAGACATTCAAACTTTAATGTGCTCCCTTCTGCAACTAAAGATGACCATCATAAACGCATTTTTATGCGTTTTTCAATCCCAGAGTCATGATAAGCCTAAATATTCACACTATGAACTGGGTTTTGAGGACCTTTTGGTTAGTTTCCTTAATCTGAACCGCAGGGGCTTCTCCTGCACACCCAGGGCAAAAAAATTTCCTAAGTTCCCACTCTTGTTTGTCACATACGCTCTCCCTCCCACCCACCCCCACCCTTGGCACAGGAGCCGGTATATTCCTTGTCTTAAGACCAAACACACACGGAGATTCCAAATAATAGGAGGGTCTTTGACTAGCCCACACCGTGGATCTCCTGCCATCAAACAGGTGTTCCCCGCCTCTCGGTTTCTTTAGCAACAACTCCAGCTTTCTTAAGAGCGCCCCACCCACCACCCTGGTCCCCAAGAATTGCCAAATCCTTTTACCGTCTAGCCCCCCTCCACCATCTCGGTTCTACCGCAAGGGTCTTCCTTTTTCCCATCCCACCTCATGCCCAGCTACGGGTGTTCTAATTCTCTAGCGGTAGAACCTGCCGCCAGGACTCCGTTGCTAGGCCCAAACAGAGGCCCGACACTTTCCGAAAACCCTTGAGCACCGCTAACAGAGGTCCCCACCACCACCAGCGCCCACCCAAGGCTCACCGTGCGGATCTGCCTCCGCAAAAGGTAAATGAAGAAGCTCCAGAGCTTGGCGGCGAAGGCCACGAACGTGCGCAGCCCCAGCAGACACTGCGTTGGCCGGGTGAGCCAAGGATCCGGGAAGAAGGGGAGGGGGAGCCGAAGGACGCGGATGGCTGGACCAGAGCGGCCTCCCCCTCCCCGAGGTCGGGGGCGCCTCAACCGCTGGGGAGCGGGGCTGCAGCCTCTGCAGCTGGATTTCCCACTCTGACAGGCGCCATTTTACCGCCCAAAGGGCTCCCTCCTCCTTTCTTCCCCCCTCCTCTTCCCCTCTGACACTACTTCCGGTGGTGACGTGTATTCGCTTCACCTGGACTAAAGTTCCCCCTACTCGGTCTATGGGGGGTGGGGATAAGGAAAGTGGGGCGTGCTCCGAACAAGGCCCCAATATTGCGCATGCGCGGGGGCGATGGGTGGGCGGGGCCTGGAGCATAGCAGGCCCGCCTTGAATTGCTTGGGCTGAGCGGAGTGACGTCACTTTTCCCCGAGGCGCAGACCGTCGGAAGGGCTCGCGCAACCACCTCCCCCTCCCACGGACAACTGCCCCAACGGCTCTTTCCGCCCCGGTCACGGTAAAATTGTAGAGAGGGGCGTCGTCCCTACGTGTGTGTACCAGCAGTCAGGAGGCACTATTCCCTGTTCGCCTTTCTGGGATAGTGAACCTAATCACCTCTCCAGGCTATACCAGGTCTCAGTGGTGGGAGGGATCGCGGATGCCTCGCCCCTTTCACGTGGAGGGGGCGGGGCAATGGACAGTGACGCCATCAGAGGGCGTCCGAAGAAGGACTGGACGCAATTTGGGGATGTTGGAGTCGCTGTTGGCTCTTGGTGGCCTGGTGCTGCTTCGGGGTGAGGGTCGAAGGCACAGGGGCTTTGGAACACGGCTCAAGAGGCGGAAGTGGAGAGGAGGGGCTATAGGTCACAAGCCAGGGGTGGAGGTCTCGACTACTTCGTGAATACGAAAACTTCAGTGTTCTCAGGCTGTTTGTCATTCGCTCTTTCCAGATTCCGTGGAGTGGGAGGGGCGTAGTCTCCTGAAGGCGCTTGTCAAGAAATCGGCGTTGTGGTGAGTATCCCGCAGGGTCTTGCCGTTTCATCCGATATGGGAGCCTGGGTCCCACTCTGACAGTCCCCCTCATCTCTGCCTCAGTGGGGAGCAAGTCCATGTCCTGGGCTGTGAAGTGAGCGAAGAAGAGTTTCGTGAAGGTTTTGACTCCAGTATCAACAGCCGGTAAGTACAAATTGGAAGAAATTTAACTGGATTTGGGACTAATGTTGCTGAGGAATTTCCCTTCCAGCAACAGGGAAAAAACCTGTTACGTAGTAGTGTGAAAGTGTCAGTTACCCAGTCGTGTCCGACTGTTTGCGACCCCGTGGACTGTAGCCCAGGCTCCTCTGTTCATGGGATTTCCCAGGCAAGAATACTGGAGTGCGTTGCCATTCACTTCTCCAGAGGATGTTACCCACCCAGGGATCGAACCCAGGTCTCCTGCTTTCAGGCCAGTCTTTACCATCTGAGCCACCATAGAAGCGTAAAGCCTAGTCGACAATTAATTGAATGGAAATGGGTCTTTCAAAGGAGGTAGGAATTAGTAAGTGGAATGATGAAGAGTAGTATATGGAGAATCCAAAACAGGGACTACAGAAGATGAAAGGGATAGTGTAGTAAAAGGCCGACAGTACAGGTTAGCATTAGAGACTGCCCTGGAGAATAAGAATAAACATGTTCTGCCTTTTGAGTTAATCAGTCTAGTGATCAGCGTACATCAACACTAACTGCAGGCTACATAGGGATTTGTCCTACAAGCAGAAGGAACAATTTATGCATAATTAGGGAAATATGGAAGCCATCCGGTTTCCCTGGTGGCTCAGTAGTAAAGAATCTGCCTACTGTCCAGGAGATGCGGCAGAAGCCGCCGGTCCAATCCCTCCTCTGTCAGAAGATCCCGTGCAGAAGGAAATGGCAGCCCAACTGTAGTATCCTTGCCGGGAAATCCCATGGACAGAGGAGCGTGGTGGGCTTCAGTCCATGGAGTCACAAAAGAGTAGGACACAACTTAGTGACTAAACAACAACATGGAAGCCATACCTGTTTGTGGGAGATGTGGGAGCTTCCTGAGGTCAGACAAAGAGCAGTATCTGATAATAGTGAAAAGTCCTACAGAGCATGAAAAGGGAAATTTGAAAGGAGAGTGATAACATCATACCTGTTAGAAAGACTCCACACTGTGGAGAATGGGTTGGGCGCGGGGAGCCTGGACTTAGGGAGACCAAATGGGGAGGGTTTTGCAAAAATGCAGGTTCTCTCAGATGTAGAAGTGCTGGTTAAGGGCTATTGTGAACCAGGAACTGCTTGGTTAGAGCAGTGATTGAAGTAGAATTCGTATTCCAATGCAATCTCAGAGAATAATGGTAGAAGGAGACAGAGGCCTGGCTTAAGGCAGGGTGGACAGTTTGGGACAAATGTAAAAGGATGTTAGCAGGTACTACATCTTCCAGGACTTAGACTGATGTGGGGCAGAGGAAAGCACCCAGATCAGGAAGTCCCTGAACCTATGTTGGCTGGTTAAGAAAAATTATTTCCTGGTCTGTGTAGTTAGCTGGATAACAGTAGTTTGCATCTGCCCAAATTTTTTATCAGTTGTGAGAGTAGACGTGATGCTGTAAAGATGACAGTCACAAGAGAGGCAGAAGATACAAAGGAGGTGTCTGGGAACAAGTTCTGCCACTGTGAAGCTTTCCCAGGATTTCTAGTCCATGCCAGTTTCTTTACCTGAATTGTTATTTTATCTGTAGTTAGTATGACAGGACTTGCTTCTTGACCTTCTCTAAGCTGTTCTACAGGCAGGAACCATGTCTCAGATCCTCTCCTTCCTCTTTATCTATTCAGAGAATGATAAATTTTAGGCACCACTCAGGAAATATTTGATAATGATGATAGTTAACATTTATTGTTTAGTACTTGTCAAGCACTGTGTTAAATGTCAGGAGGTTGGTATTCCTGTTTTATAGTGAAGAAACTGAGTCTTAGATGAAATAATGTATCAGGTGACCTTGGGCAAGTAGAACCAAGCTTGGAGCTCAGGTCTGTTTGACACCAAAGTCAGTGCTGTCAATTACTGTATTCTACTTCTCAGTTTAAAAAAAAAAAAAACATACAGAGCGAAGTAAGCCAGAAAGATAAAGACCATTACAGTATACTAACACATATATATGGACTTTAGAAAGATGATAACGATAACCCTATATGCAAAACAGAAAAAGAGGCTCTGATGTATAGAACAGACTTGTGGACTCTGGGAGAAGGCGAGGGTGGGATGTTTCAAAAGAACAGCATTGAAACATGTATATTATCTAGGGTGAAACAGATAACCAGCTCAGGTTGGGTACATGAGACAAGTGCTCGGGCCTGGTGCACTGGGAAGACCCAGAGGGATCGGGTGGAGAGGGAGGTGGGAGGGGGGACTGGGATGGGGAATACATGTAAATCCATGGCTAATTCATTTCAATGTATAACAAAAACTACTGTAATGATGTAAAGTAATTAGCCTCCAACTAATAAAAAGAAAAAAAAAAAACACCTTTTCATTGATTTTTAAAATATTAGTGAAAATCAAGGAAACAGAACCACAAATATCAGAAGCCAAAGTTGGAGATGGCAGGGGCAGGGGAGTAGTATAATCATGCCTTTTATTTTCCCTTTACAGACTGGTTTACCATGATCTCTTTAGAGACCCTCTCAGCTGGTCAAAACCTGGGAAAGCCCTTCCTGGCGGGCCCTTGGAAGCCTTGAGGGCCCTGGACAAGAAGACAAGTTCTGGCCCTGCCACCATTGCTCTTGATTCCCTCAGCTGGTTGCTGCATCACCTTCCCTGCCCCACACTCTGCCAGACCCTGCATGCGCTGAGCCGTCAGGACTCCTGCCCTGGTGAGGCTTCTCGTTTGTTTCTTCCCCTCATACATTCCCCCTGCCAACCTTGTGCCCCTCTCCACCCTAACAAGAAACATATCAGGGATCTCCAGTTGGGCCTTCTTCCATCACTTTTATCTTTATTCTATTTCTTGGTTGCTTCATAATGCTATCAGTCACTCTTTTTTTCTTTTCCAAGTTTTTTTTTTCCTGTCACTCATTCATTCATTCAACAAATGTTAAATATATACATACACTGTGTTGGGTCCTTGCCTTGCAGGAGCTCAAAGTCCCATAAAGGGTACAGACTAGTAAACAAGCAATTTACTGGATAGTCTGATAAGGACTGTAATGATAAAGGAACTTGCACAGAGTACCTTAAGGAAGGCTTGAAGATCAAAGGGTCAGCCAGACCAGTTTGTCCAGCTGATAGCTCTGGGACTATCTCTAAAGTACAGTGGGTCCTAGGATGGGCTTTAGTCAGATACCCAGCTCGGTGCACAGGTGTTTGGTCTGACAGTGCTTCAGTTTCCTCTGGAGGATGGAGTTTATAGTATTAGGATGAACCACTTGGAAGTGCTGTTTTTATAGGTCAGATATGATCAGATGTTAACAGTTTCATACAGTTCAACCTAAAAATGCAAGTCTTTAGTGCCTGACACTAAATGCAGCTAAAAAGAAAGATGGGAGGGGATCTAAGGCACCGACTGGGATTTTTGGCAAGTTCCAGACACTGCAGGTAGTTCAGTGTACAAGAGATGAGACTGAAAGCAAGTGGAGAACGAACATTGAAAGTGTGAGTTCCTTCATGGAGGCCTTGGGGCGCTCCTGAGGATTGAGGTCAGTGCAGTGCCTTGATTTGATATTCGCTGGAATAAGAATGTGTATTAAGGTGAGGCCTGAAAGAAGTCAGAGCAGGGTGGTGAAACTAACGGAGGTCAGTCAGGATCTGGCCAGTTCTGAGATGTGGGCCTTATTTTTTTCCTCTTCACTGTTTGATCCCAAGCATCCCTGGAATGCTCCCTACTGCCCTTCGTGCACATTTCTTGTCCCTCTGCAGGGGATAGCCCCCCAGGTGAGCAGGTGCGTGTGCTAGGCCTGCTGCATGAAGAGCTTCACGGCCCAGGCCCTTTGGGAGCATTGAGCAGCCTTGCTCAGACCGAGGTGACCCTGAGCGGTACGATGGGCCAGGCATCAGCTCACATCCTCTATCGGAGGCCAAGACAGCACCCCACCCACCAGGTCAGGAGAAGCAGGGGACTGGATGTTGGGGTCAGACAGAGAGGGAAAGCAGTAAAACATGATGTGATGGAGCACTTCCTTGGGCCCTCATCCTTGTAGCATTTCCCCCATTTTTTCTCTTATGTGAGAGGCCTTGTGAGGTAGATTGTTTTATTATCCCCAGTTTATAGCCTGGAAAGCTCAAATCTTATAAGCTTAACCAACAAAAGACACTGCCTTCCAGGAAATGGAAAAGGAGAAAAAGCCAAAAGTGGTCTCCATGGAGAGGTTTGAGGGGCTGAGAGGTGGAACGCAAGAGCCGGAAGAAGCCAGTCACATAGGTGGCTAAGAGCTGGAGTGGCAGGTCCTGGTTCTGTGGTTTGTTCAGTAAGATAGAAAAAACTTTCTTAACCCTCTTCTTACTTCTCTCCAGACTCAGTGGTTCTCCATCCTTCCTGACTTCAGCTTGGAGCTCCAAGTGGAGCCGCCACTGGAATCCCAGCCCCGCTCAGATCCTCATACTCCCTCGGTACCTAAGACAGCCAGGGCAGGAACAAGGGGATGGAATTTGGGGTCTGGAAAAAGGAGAGGGGGATAAAAACTGCAGATATTGGGGGCGTGGGGTCAGGGATTCCAGGGATGGCGCAGAGCAGCAGCTTCTTCTGTACCTGCAGGTGGACCCCACTACTCATTTGACTTTTAACCTTCATCTGTCCAAGAAGGAGAGAGAAGTCAAAGATAGCCTGACTCTGCCCTTCCAGTTCAGCTTGGAAAAGTAAGGTTGGGGCCTCAGTGCCCAAGTCCCTGAATTGAGCCCAGCGTTGGGCCTAAGAGGTGGGGCGACAGCAGGTTGTTGATTAACTTTTTCAACTTTATAGGGGCTGAAGTCCACCTCCAGAATCAAGTCTGGGGAGTGGCTCTCTACCCACCCAAACTCCAGCAATGTCAAAGGAAGGACCTTGATGTCTCTTTTCTCTCCATTAGAGCCTTGGGTCCCCCACTGATGTCCCCAAAGTAATCTGGGCCTGGGCTGAGCCAGACCAGACCCCAGGGAAGTGGCCCTATCTCCAGGTAGCAGCACTGGGAGGGCAGAAAGCTAGATGGTATGCCAGAGGCAGGTTAATAAGGGCTTAGTAGACACCTGTTGTTCTGTGCCCAGCATGTGGGCGGGTGAAGCAAGACTACACAGTATCCTTGCCCTCAAGCTGCTAAGAACTTAGGGTGTTACAAGAGCTGTCTATAAGTATCCACCCCTGTACCAGTTGGTGCTACACAAGGTTGGACAAAGGGATTTAGACCAAGAAGACATGGAAGCCAGAGAGGGAGTGACTGTCACACAGAAAGAGGGTGTCCAGGCATGACCCTTTACCCACCCTCCCCAGCACCAATTCTCCCCTTATCTCTCCTCAGACAGCAGGCTCTACTGCGCCCTGGGCTGAGCCAGGCTACCAGCCACATCTTCTATGAGCCAGATGCTTATGATGACCTGGATCAAGAAGACCCAGATGATGACCTAGATGTTTGACTGTCTAGGAGATTTGACTAGACTGCAGTTGGAGGGAAAGAGGAAGACTATGGGCCCATAACCGTCCTTCAGTTGTGTGTGTTGGCCTTAACCTGTCTCTGTTCCATCTTTGTTTCTTGTTTCCATGGAGGCCCTGCCCTGTGACCCATGAGCCAGGGAACAGCTTCCAGTGAGAAGAAAGTGGGCTGGAGGCATAAGAGAAAGTGACAGGATAAGAACACCACCTCCCCCCAAGCCTAATAAAATCTTTTATTTTTTATTAAAAGCTAAAGTTCTTTGGTTGCTATTTAAGCAAGAGTCACAAGTGCACAGGACTGGAGGCTGGGAGTGGATGAGAGAAGCCCAGCCCCTGAGTTGTTGCAGATGCCATGAAGGAGATGGGAAAAAAGCCTACTTTCCAAAACATATTTTTATTACTGTACAAAAAGCACACCCTCCCTTTTTTGTCCCCCCCCACCCAACCCCCCCAGGAAACTGTACATGGTGTGCTGGGCTAGAGTGACCGAAGGCTTCTGCTTGGCACCCTTCCCACAGGCTGAGCTCTCTGCCCCAGGTCCTTTCATGAGGCGCTTGTAGGTTGCCAGGTTGGGGCAGGGGCATCCCAGCTCACACATACTCCTTGGCAGAGTTGGGCTTAGGGTAGGAGCGAGGCGCACGGTATCCAGCTTTGCTCTCACTCCCAGGACAGGAGCAAGAGAGCAGCGCACCTCCCAGGAGGACCAGAGCAGACCCTGCCCAGCCAATGAAGATGGCAGGACCAAACTCATACCTGTGGAGAGAAGGGATTGGGGTCATGAACCCTGGTCTGCCTCTCCCAACCCCAGACCCCTTAGGAGGTAGGGCTCTCATACTTACTTAACATTCATGGGGACCAATGGGTTATAGAAATCTGAGACAATCTGATGGCCGTACCAGGAACAAGCTATCAAGGCAGCAAGACCTGGAGAAAAAACGAGGATTCAGATACTGTGAGCCACCCGCCAAACCCGCACTGTGTCCACACTTACCCCTTGAGGATGGTTAGAGTCCTTGGCCCCACCTTGGACCTGTGGCTCACCTGCCAAGATGAAAATGATGCCTCCCGTCATGGCTATCCGGGCCTTCTTCACTTTGTCGTCTCCCCCACAGTTTGTACACTTCATGCCCATCGTGGCCACGAATGTGGCCAGGAAGCCCAGCACCAAGGACACCACCATTAGGGCTCGAGTGGCCTGCATGGCCGCTGCGGAAAAGGGGTAAGGATGCCATCCTTGCTGGAAATGACGGGGCGGCCCTTGGACCGCTTCAGACCCGAGTCCCGGGCTGGAGCCGGCGGATCCCGCCCTCTCCCGACTCAATGGCCTTCCCGCTCTGCCCCGCCCTCTCGGCTCTAGGATCCGCCCGGGGCGCCAGGGTTTCGATGAAACTGCCCCCGCGGAGGGGGAAGGGTGAAAGGGGACGTCGAAGGAAAACTGAGGTGGTGACCTGAGCCCCAGTAGCGGTGGCTGCAGCCCCGGTGCCACCCGCAGTCCCGGCTCTCGTCTCAGCTCTTGACCCCACTATCGAGGCCACGCTTTGTGGCCTCGGCTAATCGGCCGATAAGATTAGAAGCCGCAAGCGGCGGCCCAGGGGGCAGATAGGGGGCGCGGCTCCTCGGCCGCCCTCGGTTCGACCCCGCGGCCCCCAACCCAACCCGGCGGGCTCCAGCACGCGCCGCCTTTTGTCCGAGAAAAGGGCGGGAGATGGCGGAGACCTTGGCCTCGTCGGGGAAGGGGGAGGGGAAGGCCGCGCCCTAGTACTCAGCTTCCCGGGAGCGGCTTGGGCCGCGGGCCGCTGGCCGCTCGGCCGGGAGACGAGGCCCGTCCGTGGGCGAAAAGGGGCTCAGCCGGACCCGCGCACGTGCAGTCCCAGAACCTCGGCCCTACCGCTTCCTCCTCTCCAGCCGCGCTCCGGGGCAACCCAGCGCGTCGGGCCGTGGGGCCTCGAGCCCGGCCCCTCACCCACCCCGCGACCTCACCTCTGGAGCATCCACCCCGTCGGTCCCGCGGTCTTACCCGACAGGGCGAGCACCGAGTCGTACATTTTGCAGCTCATCATACCGGTGCTCTGCGTGACGCAGTCCATCCACAGCCCCTTGTACATGGCCTGGGCGGTGATGATATTGTCGCCCGCGTACGAGCTCATCTGCCACTGCGGGATGGCGGTGCACGCCACCAGGCCCACCCAGCCCAGCAGAGCCATGGAAAAGCCCAGCAGCTGCAGGCCCGAATTGGCCATTTCCGCCCTCAGAATAGACGGGGGCGCCGGGCGGGCGAGTTTTTAAGTCACCCAAAGAGGCAAAAAAGAAGTTGGTCGACTGCTTGCAAATCTGGTCTCCGGAGTAAACACAAACCGACCCCTCCGGCAAGGCAAGAGTCTCACGGCACAGCAAACAGGACTGGTGACCGACAAAAGCGATCCGCGAAGGCCTGGCGGTTCCCTCGGGCGCTCGGCGACTCTTCCCAAACAAAAGGTGGAGGGGCCGTACGGGCGCGGCCCCAGGGTGCTGGAAGTCCCCAGAGTATCCTGGGCTGTCGGCCCGAGGCTGCTGTGCGAACTAGAGGTCGTTCAGCGGTGAGCGGGCAGGTGCGGGCGGACAGGTGCTGCGCACCTGAGTATAAGTAGGGCGTCGGGGGCGCGCCCCCGCGGGCACCGGGAGCGCGAGGCGGGGAGGAACCGAGGGGCGGCCGAGGGTGACATGACGTCACCGAAGGGACACTCACCTGAGCCGGAAGTCCTTGCCCCCACCCCTCCTGGCTCAGGTGAGGAGGAAGAAACCTGAGCCCCAGCGTCACGCCCCTTTACTTGTTGGGCTCGGACCGCTGGAGGGGGGAGGTGAAGTCTTCTCTGGAGTCCCAAGTTCTGAGGAAGCCCCTCGGACTGGAGGTCCCTCGGGCGGAAGGACGTCCCTTCCCCGCTCCCTGACAGGTGCGCCAGGAACGGCGGAGCCTGAGCGGGAGAGATGCCCCAGGCTAGCCCTGGCTCCGCCTCCCAACCCCCACCCCCCGCGGGGACTCTCGGCTTCTACTCCGTGCGCTCGCTGTTTATCCCGCCCTACTTTCGCCCCCACCCTCTGTTGTACTCTTTTTCTCTTCAGTCTTCTTTCCTCGCCGACCCCACCTTCCGGGGACTCCTCAGAACTGCCCACTTCAGCTGCCTAATTAGAGTCTCCACCGCCAGAGCCACCGCGTAGCGCCCCTCACCGCTGTCGCCTCCACCGGACACCTGGCTTCCAGGCGCGGTGCCCCAGCACCTATCTCCTCCGCCCCCTATTCCGATCTTTGCTGGACGTGACTTACTGGCGGGGGCCCTTGACACCCCGCGCCCCGCAGTTAGTGTCCCATCTCGCTTCAAGGGTCCTTGCCGTGGAAGGAGGAAACCACTGAGGCCAGAAACCAGCGAAGGGAGGGAGCAGGGTAGGGCCTGGGTCAGAGTCTTGGCCACACCCACCATTCTCTTCCCTTGGAGTTTTTCCAGCCGGTCCTCCACCTTTCCATCTTCCTCCTCCCCCAGCCCTGCACTAGTTTCTCACCCTCATCGGGAGACTGGACCTGACTGTGTGCCCTCTCTCGCCCTCTCACCGTGCCGTCCTCCAGAACATCTGGCTCTAATGTGGCCTTTGAGTCAGTCCTCAGACCCCCACCTCACCCTCAGGTTTCTTCTGTCACTCTCCCTGAGTTCTACCCCATCCCACCAAGCATCCCCCACTCACCCATACCTCCCTCATCTGTTATCATCTCCCCTTCCTGTCCTTTCCGCTTCCTATTTTACTCCTCATCTTTTAGTCTACCTGTGTACCCTGTCTCCAGACCCCTTGGAGCCCAGCATCACCCAGTAGCCTTTCTTTGCATCTACCCGAGAGCACATCCCTGCTCCCTCATGGTCGTTTCCTTTCAGTCTTTCCTTCTCCATCCTGACAACTCTCAGGCTCACACACCTTTCTTACTCTGTCTCTCTCGTTTCATTTTTTAACCTCAAGTCTCTCATATTTCCCATCTTTGCTCCTTCTCAAACATTTCTCAGTCTTTCTTTTATTCAATAAAAATATTAATGGTCCTTCACAGTCATCTAATTAACCTGTTTTTCTGTAAAATGCAAACTTTAAGGAACTCTATTATTCATTTTAATTTTTCTACCTTTGATTAATGGTGAGTTTTGTATTTTTTTAAGGTGACTTCCATCTCTGGAAATCCACGTTTCTCGTTAGTTAAATATATCCAGCTCCTTTCCAAGCTCAGTGAGACCATCTCAGACCAAGCCCCATCACCTCTTGCCTGGACACTGCAACTGCCTCCAAACCAATCTCTCTACTTCCCTGCTTGTCCTTCTAAAATCTATTTTCCAGAAACAAGTTTTTTTTTTTTTTAATAAACTTTTAGCTTATCACTTCTTGTTTAAAATCCTTAAAACTTCCAACGGCATTCTTTGGCTCCTATTGCTCCACTGGATTTGCAAATAAATGTTACACTATGGTTTATGAGACTCCATGTGTCAGCCACACTTCCTGAACTATACTGTGTTCCTTCCCACCAAAGTGCTTCTGCACTCTGTTCTCTATGCCTGGGTGCTCTTCTCATCTACCCCCACCCAACCTTCTTTCTACCCAGCTAACCGACTCATCCTTAGCTATCAACTCAAATATGACTTCTCCTGGGAGGCCTGGCCTGAGCACCCCACCCTGAACTGAGTCAGATCACCTTGCTGAATGTTCTCACTGCTACCTGTACTTTACTTTCAAGGTTCTTATCATGACTGGAAGCTATTCACTTGGTGTGATTATTTACTCAACGTCAGTCTCCCCACTATACTATAAGTTCTAAAAGATGTGTCTGGATTTTATCCCCAGTAAATAGTGGATGAATAAATGACTAAATTGCAAATTAACATGATTTTCATCTACTGATTTGATAAATGTTTTCTGAGTCCCTGTATAATGTACCAAGCACCATGCTTGACACTGGGGCTACAGCTGTAAACAAGAGGACACTGCAGACTTCCTGGTGGGCCAGTGGTTAAGATTCAGTGCTTCTACTGCAGGGGGCACAGGTTCAATCCCTGGTCAGGGAAGTTCTGCATGGCATTCTCTGGGGTCAAAAAAGAAAAAGAGGACGCTTCATTCAGGTAACTTAGATTCTAGAGGGAGGAAGCAGACAATAAAGACATAAAATGGTGCATGTTTTCAAGGCAATAAAATAGGGTAATGTGATGAGGTTGGGTCCATTCCAGAGTAAGGTCAGGGAGACCTACCTAGGAAGGGACTGTTAAATAGTGAGCCACCCAGGAAGAACCATATTATAGGCATAGGGAACAGCAAGTGCTACGACCCTGTTTCTCTTGTCCCTTTGAGACTTGTATTAACTTAAAGCAGGATTGCTCCACCTCAGCACTATTGTGTTTGGGGCCAGATAATTCTTTGTTATGGGATGGTTCTGTGCATCATAGGATATTTAACAGCACTCTGGAGTTCCACTGATTTGATGCCAGTATCCTCTCCCACACCCCAGTGTGACAATCAAAAATGTCTCCAGAATAAACAAGGTCCTACTGTATAGCACAGGAAACCATATTCAATATCCTGTCATAAACCATAATGGAAAAGTATATATATATATAATCACTGCTGTACAGCAGAAATTAACACAACATTGTAAATCAACTATGCTCCAATAAAATAAATTTAAAAAAAAAGAAATCATTGTCTCCAAAGATCACCAGATGTACCAGTGATGAGATGAGCAAAATTGGTCCCAGCCTAGAACTACTGATTTAAAGATTCACCAGTCAGCATCACTGTGAGTTTTTGTTCTAGAAACCTTCAAGTAAAGAGTTGGGTGTGAGGAGAAAGTAGATGGGTAGTTGGAATTAGCCAGGGTTGGGATTTTGCTAAAAAGAGAGAAAAGGGGGAGTTCCCTGGTAGCCTAGTGGTTTGGATTCCAGGCTTTCACTACTGTAGCCTGGGTGCAACCCCTGGTCAAGGAACTGAAAATCTTACAAGCCAAGCAGTGTTGCTAAAAGAAAGAAAGAAAGAAAGAGACAGAGAATAGAGAAGGAATTTTAATTTGCTCGAGAGTGATTATGTGCTAGATCATTGCTATAAATTGGGTATTAACGAGAGCAAACATAAAAAGGAGTCAGTGAATAGTGAAAAACTGATCCAGTCAATGGTTTTGAGGTCTCCGTAAAGTGAGTGAAGTGGGGATACATGAATGGATGATCTAGAAGCCTAGGAGGTGATCATCAGAGGTGGCAGGGTTGAATTCACGAAATTGGAAGAGGGTGTTTTTGGAGATAACAAAGCCATGGGTAGGGGCCTGAAGGTGGACTGAAGAGACAGATGGTTGAAGATGAGACTGAGGGCTGAGAGGCTGTGAGTAAATGGAGTACCCTGGTAGGTTTTGAAGTCAACAACAATGATGATGAGAACATAGGCATAAAGAAGACCACAATGAGCTTGATCAATACTACAAGGAAGAGAAAGAAATACATTGTGCAAAGATTGAAAGGGTCAAAATAAAACTGATTTGCAAATGATATAATCATCTACTAGAAAATCAGATAAAAGCAACAGAGAGTCTGTCAGAACTATCCACGGTGTTCAGTAAGTTTGCTGTACACAAGATCCACCCACAAAGAGAGTCACTAGTATTTTACTATACCAGCAATAACTAATTAGAAAATATAATTTTAAAAATAACACTCAATTTGCATCACTGCCAAAAATTATAGAACATCTTGGAACTAACCAAGTATTCATAAGACCTCAATGGAAGAAAAATTTTAACTCTACTAGGTCCATCTAGTCAAAGTTATGGTTTTTCCAGTAGTCATGTATGGATGTGAGAGTTGGACTATAAAGAAAGCTGAGTACCAAAGAGCTGATGCTTTTGAACTGTGGTGTTGGAGAAGACTCTTGAGAGTCCCTTGGACTACAAGGAGATCAAACCAGTCCATCCTAAAGGAAATCAGTCCTAAACATTCATTGGAAAGACTGATGCTGAAGCTGAAACTCCAGTTCTTTGGCCACCCGATGTGAAGAACTGACTCATTGGAAAAGACTCTGATGCTGGGAAAGATTGAAGGCAGGAGGAGAAGGGGACGACAGAGGATGAGATGGTTGGATGGTGTCACCAACATGATGGACATGAGTTTGAGTAAGCTCCAGGAGTTGGTGATGGACAGGGTAGCCTGGCGTGCTGCACTCCATGAGGTCACAAAGAGTTGGACATGACTGAATGACTGCACTGAACTAAAAGAATATAGAAGATGAATGAATACAGAAATAGTCCATGCTTTTAAATGGGATGACTTAACATTATAAAGATATCAGTTGTCCCCAGAATAACATACAATGTGATATATTACCCAAAAAAATTAAATTGGTGTTTTTTTAAAAGATATTAATAAGTTTACCTTCAGATTTTTTGAAGTAATTAAAACACATATACACAGATAGTTCGGTCTTCACTGAGAAGTAAGAGTAACAAGAGGGGTCTTGCTCTTCCAGAAATTTAAACTTGCTACAAAGCAATCAGCAACAATAACCGTATAGTATTAGTGCAAGAACAGAGATACATCAATGGAACAGAATGCCAGAGACAGAGGTACTTATATATATATATATCAGAA